GGGCGGGCAGGGTGCAGGGGCAGGATAGGGCAGGGGTCCAGGGAGGGACGGAGCAGGCGGGGGACGAGGGGAGCAGGCCAGGCGAGGAGGGCAGGTGGAGGCCGTGGGCCAGGGAGGGTCGGGGCAGGCGGGGCCTGGCTAGATGATGCCGTACTGGGCCAGCTCATGCAGCTCCAGGTGGTTGAAGGCCTCCCATGGGCAGATGACCGTAATGTCTGCAGGAGAGAAAAGGGCCCGGGGTCAAGGAGGGGGGTGGGGGGCTATGTCACCCAGAGGGCAGGGCCTGGCTCTGTCTTGCGTGGGGCCCTCATCCAGGGCCAGGACAGCGTGGGCCCGCGCCATCTCCTCGGATGTAGGTGCGCAGCGCTCCTCCCAGGACCCATCAGCAGGGGGATGGCGACTGTCCTGCCCAAGAAGAGGCGCTGGGGTGCAGCAGGCCCAGCGAGGAGCAGAGTGGGAGGGGTGTGAGGGGTGCACCGATTCCTCTCCCAGACCCTCCCCCGAGCACGTGGTGAGCCCAGAACAGAAGCACAGAACCGTGGGCCGTGAGGCTGATGCTGGGTTAGAAGCAAAGGGCAGGCTGGACGTGGCCCCGGAGTAATGCATGTGGGCGCTGGGGCCAGAGGGCGTGTCGGTGAGCTGCGGGGGGCCCCGGGCTGGCCTGCGTGGAACCTCAGCTGCCATGAGTCACATCATACCTGTCCCCAGACCTTCCATTCCAGGGATGTCATCCCCAAACCTGTGAGGACAGAGCAATCAAAGACAGGGGCTGTCGGCCAGAGGCTAAGGTCGGGGCCTGGCCCTGCAAGGGGCCAGCACCTCGAGGCGACCCCCAGCCTCCCGCTGCTCGGCCAGGCCTGAGGCGCCTGTGCTACCCAGAAGTCTCGGGTTGAGGCCCAGTGCGGGGACACAGCAGGTACATGGCCTGGTGGTGGCACAGAGCACGCAGGGTGGTCTGTGACATGCCGTGGGTAGGAGAGCGTCATGCATGCCACATGTGAGCATGCTGTGGCAGGGCTTACTGTGGGGAGGGGGTGTGCACTCCAGACCCGTTTGCCTGCAGCATCTGCGGGGGTTCCAGGATGCCCCAGCCCCCCAACTGTGCTCAGTCTCAGGGGCCACACCCCCAGTTAGGAGGAGGATACCACCCTAGGCCAGGAAAGTGGCAGAACCCCCACCCTTTTCCACCCTGCTTACCCTTGGATGCCTTTCTTGGGGGGCTTGCTCTTGAACTGCCTGGTTTGCCGCTGCTTAAACTTGGGGGGCCCTTTCCGGGGGGTGATAGGTCCTCCAACCACGCTGGTGGCTGACCGGGTCTCAGCCTTGGGTGGCTCCAGGTTCATGATGAGGCCAGCCAAGGTGCCACAGGGGGCTCACGCTGTGGGGGCAGGCCCAGTCAGCCCTCCCATCCATGGGGCTCAACCCCCAGAGCAGAGGAGCCCAGACACGGGACCCAGCCGGCAGTACTGCAGGGCCGCAGGGAGCTCAGGGGACTGCCCAGCAGGCACTCTCCTGCTCCTTCCTGGCCACATCCCCACTGCTGGCCACCCACAGCGGTGCCACCCACATGCCAGTCCACACCGGAGCGGTCCTCCTGGCCGTGGTCGCTGCAGCCCCGCACCGTCAGCATCTCCCCTGGCAGAGTCCTGCATGCCAGCACCCCTCCCAGCCCTGGTGCAGCTGCCCAGTGGGGCCAGCGGTGGACACCCACAGCTGGGGGCAGGCACAGGCCAGCCCTCCTCACACAGGGCCCAGCTGAGGGGAGCGGGCAGCAGAGTGCTCAGGCTGCCTGGCCTCCACCTCCTTGCCCCGGTGCCCTGAGTCAAGGGCAGGCCTATTAGCCTCTGAGCCTATTAGCCTGAGAAGGGGACTCCTAATCTTCCAGGGGCTGCTGCAAGCCCACATGCTTCCAGGTTCCGGAGCTAAGCACATGGCACTAGGTGCCCCCAGAGACCACCTTTGGGGTCCTGTTCCCTGCCTATGGGCCTGCAGGCAGGTGCCTGACCCAGCCCTAGGCTGGCAGCACGTCTGTGAGCTCTGCGGCTGAGCCAGCCAGGAGGTGGCATCCTGGGGAAGGAGGCTCCGAGGTGGATGCCAGGTACCCTCCCTAAAGGTCAGCTGCTGTCCCTGGAGGAACCACCTGGAGGTCCTAGCTGCTCAGCCCCACGTGCCAGACGGTGTAGGCTGAGGCTGTCAGGCGTCTCTGGGATCCAACAGTTCGAGCTATCCCAACCCATTGCTGGCCTTGGGGATAGGAGCTCCACGGTTAGAGGTGGCAGCAGGGAAATGCCTGCGGGGCGTTCTCCGGAGGGCAGGGTGGCAGGGGCCTCGGCAGGTCTGCCCTGGGCGGCTGGGCAGGTGCTCACTGGACACAGGCGTGCTACCACTCACCACACGCTGAGGCCACGGAGACACGGTCCAGGCACCGGAGCACCCCGCAGGCTCTGGCCTGAGCATTTATCCTGAGCGGGTGACCTGATTAGGGCTGCCCTCTCTGGTGCCACGCCCATGGGATTGCTGTGGCCCCATGCGAGGGTGCCCGCTTGGGACTCAGGGTGGGGAGGACACTGGCAGATGGGGCCGGGCCAGGCGGGGGCAGCGTGACCCTGAACAGCCAGAAGGCAGCAGTCTCCCTCCTGAGGTCACCATCATCCTGAAGGAGGGCACCTGTTGCTGCCTCTGGCCCTGAAGAGGCACCTCATGACCTCACCCTCACCCCTTCTCCTGTACTGGGTACACCTGCTCCCGCATGTGCATTTTTTAAGGATTATATTTTACTTATTTGTTTAAGTTTGACCAGAGGGACAGAGTGACAGTGCAAGAGCAGGAGCGGGAAGTGGGAAAGCAAGCCGCCAAGTTCGGGACTTGAACCTGTCGGCCATGTGGGAGTCCAATGCCCTTAGCCACCATGCCACCTGCCGGCCCCGCCGTGGGTGCATTTTCTACTCCTCTCTCCGCTCTCCTGGCTCCTAGGCTCTCGGGACCACGCAGTATTACTTCCCAGGTGACCGCAGGCTGGCCAGGAGCAGACCGCACGGGTGCTGGGTGGTTCTGCTTGCTCGGACCCCATGCCGAGGTGGGGCAGGGGGGCAGGTTTCCACAGATCCTGGGGTCCATGGGCCAGCTCTCTTTAAGTTCTTTATCGGGTGGGGTGTAGCATGATGGTTAGAGTGGCATGCACTCCCAAACCCTGCAGAAGTGGGTGCAGACAGGGTGCGCCCCAGGGCGGGGTCACCAGTGTGCCTGGGCTGACCCACGCCAGCGTGCCCACCAGCTTGTACTCTGGGGGTTGCAGCGCAAGGCCAGGACCTCTTGGGACAACTCCCGCTGCATGACCTAAGGGGCCTCCTCCAGGAAAAGGCGAGCTCTGTGGGCCCACTGAGCATGATACAGGTGGACGTCCACGTGCGTGTGCACACACACGCAGACGTGTACAAGTACATGCAGAAACTACAGAAAGAATCTTAGAGAAAAAATTGCTGGGGCTGGCAAGTGGCATGGTGGTTAAGGGCGCTGGACTCCCACATGGCCCATCACGGTTCAAGTCCCAGGTCTGGAGGCTTGATTTCTCACACTCTCTTTTTTTCATTGTCTCTCTTTGGTCAAATTAAAACATATATAAATACATTTTTTAAATTAAACTCTTTTTTTTCTATAGGGCGCGTGCGCTCGCCAGAGATGGACAGAGAGACAGAAAGCGAGAAATCACCCCCAGGGGGATGGCCACGCCGCAATCCCTTCTCCTCCATTCTCCTCTCGGGATCTTGGCCACGCACGCACACATGCTTGGTGTGAGTCCAGGCCACTGGGTCCAGGACGCGAACTGCGGTCAGCTACATGGGAGTCCAGCGACATAGCCATTACACTAACTGCTGGTCCCAATTTCTTGTTATTTAAAAGAAAATTAAAGAATAATTTTAACTGTATTTATTGATTTATTTAAATTTGACCAGATAGGGACAGAGTGAAAGAGATGGAAAGTGAGAGAGCAAGCTGCCAGATCCAGGGCATAAACTGTAGTCGGCATGTGGGAGTCGCCGGCTTTAACCCCCCCCCCCCCTTCCAGCCCTTCTTCTTTTTCTTCTTTTTTTTTTTTTTGGAGAGGTTTTTTTTATAGGGCACGTGTGCTCGCCAGACAGACAGAGAGAGACATAGAGACAGAAAGCAAGAAATCACCCCCCAGGGGGGATGGTCATGCCGCAATCCCTTCTCCTTGTCTCCTCTTGGGATCTTGGGCACGCGTGCACATGCGCACAGTGTGAGTTCAAGCCACCGGGTCTGGGACTCGAACAGGCTGCCAGGTCCCGGACTTGAACCACGGTTGGCCATGTGGGAATCCAGCGCCTTTTAACCACTATGCCATTTGCCAGCCCCATATTTACTTACTTATTTCGACTAGAGAGGAACAGAGAGAGATGGAAAGAAAAAGAGAGAGAGAGAGACAAAGCGAGAAAGTAAGCCACCAGGTCAGGATCTCGAGCCACAGTTGGCCATCTGAGTCCAGCGCCCTTAACCACCACACCACCTGCTGGACCCAGTAACTTTTTTTTGAGAGATTTTTGCTATAGGGTGCATGCACTAGGTGCGTGAGGGAGGGAGAGAGAGGGAGAGAACAAACGAGCAATCACCCCTAGGAGGATGGCCATGCCACAATCCCTTCTCCTCCATTCTCTTTTCTGGATCTTGGGCATGCACGCACACATGCCTGGCATGAGTTTTGTCACTGGGTCCAGGACTTGAACCGTGGTTGGCCACGTGGGAGTCCAGTGACATAGCCATTACGTGTCATCGACTGGTCCTGATAAATAACCTTTAAATCTTGTTTTCTCTATGCAGGATGGAGCCTGTGCGCACGTGAGGAGATAAGCACCTCCCGTGTGCAGGTGTCCCACACCCCCTCCCTCTTCTGATGGGCCTGGCCACTCTTCCCGGGTTAGGCTGTTTCTGGATCTGCAGAGGACGGATGAACAAGGTGCTCTGAGTTCCCAGTGCGACAGCTATGTGTCCTACTTCTCTGATCCTGCTTCTCTGACCGGCCACGACTGGCCCCTCCAGGGCCACACGTCACCGTCTCAGAGGGCAGCCCAACAGACACGGCTGCTAGCTGCTGGCAAGGCACAGCACTGTGGACTCGGGCTGCATCCACTGTCCCCAGTGTCCCTCTCCACGTGGGTTGCTGGCTTACACTGAGGCCTCGTGTGGGAAGGACACTGTCATCAGCTCAAACCCCTCTGTGGAGCTGCATCACAAGCTTAACTTTTCCCTTAAGTAAGATGCGACAGGGTGCCCAAGTTCAAGCCCAGCCCTGATCAGGCCTCTGGTGACCAGACCTCGAGCTAACGCCCGAGGCCTCCTGGTCCTCCTGCCCCCACCGACCGCCGTGGGGGCAGGGTCCAGTGGGTTGGGAGGACTGGTGCTAGGCCACGCTCAGGTCCCTGGGGTATCTCCTCCAGGACCCTTGTGCAGGACTGAGGACAGCTGGACATCCAGGGACATGTCTCAGGCTGCCTGAGGGTGTTTGTGCCTGGCAAGATCAGACGGTGGTCCCTCTGCTGCATGCCTAGGGCAACCTCTGCAGGACTAGGGAGTCTGAGACCTGACATGCGAGGGGCCATGCAGGCCGGTGGGAGCTGCAGGTGCTCAGAAGACATACGGCACCCTCCCATGCCTGCTCCCTTGGAGGACATGGCAACGCAGGCCCACCTACCACACCAAGCCTGCAGTGACCACTGTGGGCGACGTTTATTCTCAGCTGGGTAACAACATCCACCCGTCCCTACTGGGCGAAGCCCGGAACAGGTGGGCGGGCAGGCGGTCAGGCCAGTTGGGGCCAGCTGGGCTCAGTCTCTGCCCCCCATGCGGAGCCGGATCTCTGTCCTGAGGAAGGCCTTGAGGTTCTCGTCGGTCACGTGCTCCTCTAGAGCGGCCAGGGCCCGTTGCCCACCGTCCTGGTAGTACTCCAGCAGCCGCTCCGCATGCTCCACCCACACGCAGTTGGGACAGCCACTCAGGCAACAGTTTGTGGGGGGCTGCAGCTCAGGTGGCAGTGGGAACAGCGGTTCTGAGGGGCTCCCAGGCAGGGAAGTGTCGGGTTGCCTGGTGCTGGCTGCCTCTGCCTGGGAGCCCACCTCTGCACTGTCGGTCCCGAACTCTCTGGAGCGCTCATGGGCTTGTGGTCCGGAACGGTGCCCACGAAGGACGCCACCATCTCCAGGAAGCCTCTGGCAGCAGCCCCAGCTGGAGTCCCAGTGTGCCCCCTAGGGTGCAGATACACAGCAGACTTAGGGCTGGCCAGGCCTGCTGGCTCTGGTTCCAGGGGTTCAGTCCTGCAGTCACTGGGCAGGTAGCTCCTTGTCCTCTCCGCTTCCTCCACATACTACAGGACCGGAGAAGACATCTCACCTCCCTAGACTCAGGTCCCCTGCCTGGGACACGAACGCAATGCTTGGTGTGAGGGTGACAGTATGAGTCATGACTGGGGTGGGGAGCAGCGCGGTGCCTCCAGCTGAGGACTGCCCCACCCACAGGACTGGCACTGGGGGACCCTGTGCCCTACCCCTCCCATGCCCTGCCGTCCCTGCTTCCTTCGGTCAAGTGAGAAGCCCAGGTCATCCCATTCTCAGCCTCCCAAACCGCCGGGAGCCCGGGGGCTGCCTCCCCTGCCCCTGCTCTGGCCACTGCCTGAAAGCCAGGGCCTTGACCCCAGCCTTCGCTAGGGCCTCTGCAGGCGCCGGTCCACGCTGGGCCTAACGCGGTGGTCCCAGGCCGACCTAGGGGCGAGGCCAGCTTTGCGGCCCGCACGGGGCTCCGACGCCGTCCCGGGCTGGCGTGGCTGGGACCGCGCGCACTGTCCTTCGGCCGCGCCCCGGGCCCCCCGGT